AAGTGTATTAAGAGTAAGTATTAATGTCGAGATTATTCTAAGTAGTTAATTCTTTATAACTTTCTTAGCTATATATAATTAGTGCATTACTTTAAAGTGACCATTGCTGCAATGTTGAGAGCGACTAAGAATTAAATTTCAGTTGTCTGATAACAAGTATAGAGTTGTAAGATCTTAAACTACTCACTTCAGTGACCAACAACCATATTACGATGTTCTCTGGTAGAATTTAGCTTTTAACTTTTAGCCCCTCAGCTGAGACGAAATCTATCTATATCTCTCAGAAAGGCACGAATTGCGTAACTTTTTTATTTTTATTTGTGTCTACCAGCTGACTTATGAGCAATTCTAACATCCGGAAAGCAGTTATTTTTTTCAAAAGACTGGAAAAATTGGTCACATACAACAAGTTTAATGAACTTTAGTTGACTAGAACAACCATCAAGAAGTTCTACTCGAACTCGCTACCGAGGTGTATGTATGACCTCCATGGAACTGCTGTTCTCTAAGAGGTTCTAATTCACATCATCTTACATGGCAGTCGACGAAGTTACCACTTAGCTATTGAGCGAACGATTGACCTCCTGAAGAACTGGGTTAGATGCATTGACTGGTCACTGGAGAGTGGCTAGTTTCATGTTTTCTAGCTCTAAGTGCTGAATGAATCGTATAGACCATTTTTCAATATGGTCAATAAGCTAGATAGTTCAGCATCGCAGTACACTTTTGATGAATATAAGTGAAATTCATTCAGTCGCATTGAAAATTTGGTAATTTTATCTCTGAATATATACAATAGTCTCTTAAGACCTGAAGTTACTCAGCAATCTTAGTCTTCTTGTGAACGTAACATTGCTAGTACTTTCATAATCATTCAATGGAATATCACAGTTTAGTGTTACGTACACTATGAACTCAGTTGTCTAATGATCAGTACAGTCATTGAAAAAGAACATTAAGTCATTTGTTCTATGGTTTCATATCATGAAACATTTGGCGATAATCTTTGTCAATATTCGTTTATCAAGCTTTACTATGATTCTGATTATTCAAAATCACATGATTTATTTGTGAAAAAATGTTCATCGTTACAAGTGACAAGAACTTTATCTTCAAAACATGAAGTTAAGTTGACAGTCGACTCCACCTCAGATCGAAGTTCAACGGTGTGTGGACAGATCTGTATGTTCAAATCAATCGTTTTCCTGTACGCAAAAACTGTCAGCTAACCAGATTTAGAATCTATCTCATATAGGGAAAAGTGGAATTGTATTTCAAAATATTCCAAATATTCATTTTTGCAAAACCTTCAGTTAATTAGCACTCCTAGTTATTCACAGTTGGAGCCGGAGGGAGATAAAAATACAATGGATAAGTTGTCAGTATACGGTGACCATTAAACATTCTTAAACTTCTTTAAGCAGAAGAATTTCAATAGCTGATTTCCTCTAGATTCACCGCGAAAACGATACACTGTTTGACAAAAACTGAGGCTTTCCAACATAAAATAAGCACATTAGATTCACCATGAACAATACACCGATAATACAGTCTAGCTTGAACAAATCAAATCACTAAGTAAGATGTTTTGATGCATTCAAGAGATCAACAACTATCGAAAAGCATTAGATTAAGGCTTCTTCCTCTCAGTTGAATGATGCATTATAAAACCAAGGTGTAGTTCTTATATATATCCTTACAAAGATCATAAAAACGGAATTACTAAGTAACATGGTCAAACATAAGTTTCGTTGACAAGATGAAAACTTTAAGATCAACACAAAAAAATGACAAACTTAATGAAGCCACTTCAAAGGGTAAGATATAAACTCAAATTTCAGTATATTGAAAGTCAAGGAATAGATTAATTTACTGAAAAAATGACCTTGTATATAACAATAATTTGGAAATAATTCTGATTATTGAAATCATGTTTCTGAAATTATGTAATTTTTATGCATACATTAAGATTATAATGATTGTATTTTATCTGTTTACAACACAGGTTGTTCCTCTTGCGTTCAAAATGGACGCTTACTTCAGTTAACTAAAACATACGTGCTGGTACAAACACACAAAACCAGACAGGAAAAAAGTTAAAATATGCTCAGAAACAGAATGCATTGAAACAAATGAACTGAATATCAATATTAATGCATGCATGTATTTGTAGATTGTTAACTGATCAGATCATGTATGCATTTTTTTGGAATATACAACCAAAATTATGTTTCTTTTACAATAGAAACGAATATTTGAGTTAAAGTTTGCATGAAAACAGTGAATCATGTAAAAGTTGAACATCGAATATCTCTTTCCTGTTGATGATAATTATCGTAACTAAATGAAGAGAATTGTTTGCATAATAGCGGTAAATTCCAAGAAAGTGAATTGAATCAGATTCAGATGATACAAGGAAATGAAACAAACAGTCTTACATTTTTAAGCCTTGTATGAAATGGCGTTTGCGATTCAATCAAATAAAATAAGTGAGAACAGATAAACTTTAGAAATAAGGATTGAAAATTCACCCTTAGAACAGCAGGTAATAAAAATGTTCGAAGTTAGGGTCGTCCAATGGAGGCCATATCTAAGTTGAACTTTGTGGAATTCAGGCAAACATCAAATGTTTTGCCGTTCAAAGTACCCCGAAGAGTAAATATTTTTTGTCTATTAGTGTGAAACCTGACTTACGTACGTGTCGTTTTAATCTAAATTGCTTGTCTCATCATTCTAAGGACTGAATGTTCAACTTGTTAGATCACTTAAAAACACTGATATTTTATGACCATGGGTTACTGCTGTGTGTGATAGGGATATGAGAGCCCCTGTACAGTCTCAGTGAAACAATTCGCCTATTACTTTGTAGATTTAGTAAAAACTAATCGACCAGTAATCGCTATTCAGGAATCTTCGTATCAGAAAGGGTGAAATTAATCACTGTTTAAGAGTGTCAGCCATTCTAGACTATCGTTTCACCAGGCGTTATCTATAGGCTTCATAGCGACACCTTCAAGACAGTGCGTTTTTGAGATTATTACATATATCAGTCACCTCAATATATTTAATTGAAACGTTAATTATAAATGTAAGTAATAGATTTTGACTTTCAGTCTCCATTGCTGTCTCATTCAGAAGGTCTATATATAAGTTTTCTACCGGTTCTTTTCATGAAAGGCTATAATACTATCTCTCTGAAGATCAAATGAACTCTTCCGCTCAGAGTAACTTGGTAAGGTGTGATGATCTGATTACTATCAGACCACTCATAATGTTGGCGTGAGATGTAAAGACAAAAAGCGGTTACGTTGTAACAGTTAGATAGTAAGAGCTGATCTCATTCCTATTGTTTTAAAAAGATGTAAGAACTACAGCTGAGAGGATGAAAAAGTTTCACAGAAAGTATATTCAGTAGCAGAAACTGTTTGGGATGCATGATCTCTAAAACACTAACTTATAATATGTATATCTTTTCATTGTAAAATTCAAACTTTATTTTCATGCCTCTTTCGCTCCATCCAATGTGACTTATTTTTACCGCGGTTTAAGATAATAAACGCTGATTGGTCTATTTAACATTTTTATATGTTTTTTTGTTTCCCTTGGGTCAAGGCCCTTAAAAGGTATATAAACAACTAAACTTTCGGCTATAATCGCACTATTCGGCTAAAGTAAACGTACCTTCAATCTCCTTGTCTTCTCCTTCTGGTGTCAGATGAGTACCGTGTTGAGGAGTCATTATTCTGCCGTTAATCGTATCCCATCGTTCATACATATATTGAAGATCAAAACAAAAAACCCTATCGGTGTACCGTATTAAATGCTGATTCGATAACCACAAATTAAGTAACCTTCCTGCTAAGATTATACTAAGAGAAATGGAGGAACAAGTCTTCACGTTTCTGAATAGATTCGTGGTCAAATTCATCAGAAAGAAACAGGTAAGAATTTATCCACATTTAGTAGAACTATATGGAATAATGGAAGATAATACTGAACGAGTTGCTTAATGAAACAACCTAGTTTTGAGAAATCTCCAATAGTCTACATCAAGTTATATATACGTATCAAAGCACATACATTAGATGACCAGAGACAAGGGTTTGTGACTGCATGCCTGGGAATATTTCAAGAAGTTTACCATTGAGCACTGCAAAAGTCATCAACAACCCTATTACTAGTCAAGTAGTATATAGTAAACGTGAAGTTAGTATCCAAAAATAGTTTAAAACAATGAATAAACAGGTGGACCCGAATTTGTTATATTTCACTAAAGTGGTAACTGTTAAGCGACTGAAACCAAACTTCGGTGTTCTATGAGAAACAGTTCCTAGTCTGTCCATAGAATACTAACAGTCTTTGTTGTTGATAAAAATATTTTTTTAAGTAACGTTAACAATTCAGGCATTCAAACTGCTTGTTTCGTTATTGCTTAGATTTTATGGTTTGAATTATACTCATCTTGTTTTCTTAGCCAGTGTATATACTTTAATCCCTTTTTATATATTCTACGTAACACCTTTGTTTAAAATACGTTCATTTCACTTTGTTGTCGAACTTCTGTTCTTGTCCTCAGCATATTGGATAGATATTTTAGTATATAGACAATCTTATCATCAGTTCTTTTAACTCAACTCACTGAATTTTTGTAATTTCATTCACTTTACAAGAATGTTATCTTTACTTCAACCCAGTAATCTCACATCTAGCTGATTTCAATTTGTAAACATTATGTATATTTTGATACTAAAATTGTCTTAGGTTACGAGCAGCTGATGAGAAACCTCGAAACAAAGCATGTTCATGTCATTTTGCTGAAACTATTATTCTCATTGTATTTAAGTTTAGTTGGAGAAGAGATTTTTTGGTTTAGATTGACTGTTCGACAGCAGGAACCTGGTAATCCCTACCAACAAAATCCGCCATACATTTGCTAGTAAACAGGACAGTGAAATGCAATAACAAGAGTAAACAAATTGAATTTAGCCTTTATAACTCACCATTATCATCTGTTACATGATTATGATCTTCATGAACAAAATTCTCTAGTCCATCTTCATCTTTTATCATCCATTGAACTTTTGCGTTTGGTATACTTTTGGATACGGAACAATTCAGTATTTTCGTCTCATTTGGTTTAATATGAACAGATCTTGGATACGGGCTATCAAATGTTCCAAGACCTATAACGTGTATAAAAGATAATGGTTTTGAGAAATAGTTCATTATGAAACACCGATAGTTATATAATGTCATTCTTCAATAAAAACATTGCAAGATAGGTAAGTTACATGGGAAACGTAACTTTTAGCTAAGTTTCAAAGCCATACGAATATAGACATATGTAAAGATTAAACTTCTACGAACATTAAGATGTGGAAATAGTCGTATTGAACTTGGTCGAGTGTAAATAGGTACTTCCTTCTTCTTTATTGCCCTAACTAACTTCCATTTTGCTGAAATTTTACAATTCCCTTCTTTCCAATAGTTCTTTTCACACCTTTATCTATTTTCATCACTTCCACTGCTATCTTCCCCGTAGTGACTCATTCAGTTACTCTATTTCCATGGACATTTTGGTCACATTTTTACAAACCTGTTATACTTCAGTTTTGTCAATTTTGTTTGGAATGCTAAGTCTTCCGATCAGAAGACTGCTTCTTCTTCTTCTTCTCAGACTAATTAAGGCTAAGTGAAGCTGACTATTACGTTACAAATAATGGAGTAATTTGTGTAAATCTTACATCTGTATAATGATTTTCATAAATTTTAGTTACGCAACACATGTATATGACATGAATGAATTTACGCTGTCTTGGATGACAGTTTAATGAAACAGTTCCACAAACTGCCAATTCAGTTTATCAGTTACATCCAACCTTTGTCTGTTACACTTCTAAGCAAGTAAATCAAAAATCACTATTATTATTTATTATTAGTCCCTTGGGTTCCTAGTGGAACATAGGGCTTCAGTAGCACGCCTCCAGTGACCTCTGTTCTCTGAGATCTTCAAAAATCATTATAAATACCAGTAAATATTAAAGACAGAAGCATGATCATACAAATTCTTGAGAAAATAACATTGTTTGTTAAAAAAAATAAGAAAAACTTCACTCTTAAAGTCATTGTGCAATCAGGCTTCTACGTTACATCTTGACTGCAAGCAGGTGAAACTCCCCTCACCGAAGAATAGATTCACAAATCCACTAAATACTTCTTCACAAATAGGCTGTAAAATTCCCATAGGAACTGGAGCTTATAATATAATGAATATCACCCAGCAAATCCGTATAGGTTCATTCGAAAACCTGTCATGAAAGCCCCTTATGTTAGCTTTACTGATAAAAGCTGGATGCCTAAACCCCAGTATCTCCAGTTGAAAGCGAACCAATAACAAAGAGGTTGAAAATTAATCCTTTCAGGAAGAAATGCTTTTCATGTTTTACAATTTATATGGCACACGTAGACATTCCTCACAAGTGATTAGGTTTTTAATTGTTTTTTCAAAAGAGTTTCCATAAAAAAGTACCCAACTAAGACCACACACTTTGGCTTCTGATACAAATCTATGAACTAACGAAATCCACTTCTAAGTATCACGATATATGCTGGTTATACTTATGTACATATATCATTTCACCTCTTGTGGAGTTAGAAACGTATGAGTTACACGGCGATGAAATATCAAACATCGACACCAACACCTTCTGGTATAGCTCAGTAAAGGTCTGAACAGATAGTTACGGTATGGATAAAACGAATTTGAAGCTCATGTTTTTTTCTCAACAACAAGAATATCACGAAGCCAACTAACGTCCTCCAGAATTTCGGAAAATCAGATACTAATGAGAATTTTCTAGTCCGCTTCTATGATCCCTTAACAATAGTCACCACAAACTACTCAGAATAAAACCTGACTTTTATACTAACAAAGCATAATTCAATCGAATGTATGAGCATTACTGAACCCCCAGTTAATTAGTTACACAGCAGGATCAAAATCCATTATTAAAAACTGGTGATCGTATCCACACCCTACTTGTTCAGCTGTGAAATTCAACGTTTCACACAGATTTTGAAACAAATCATTTCATATTGGGATGCTTCAACAAAACCAGTTTTATTGAATGAATGTAGAAAGTACAAACTATCTTATTCCATTTACTTGGTTGTGACTAGCAGAGAAATCCAGTATACGCGTTTCGTGCTATTTTGACTCGTCAGTTGGGTGCATCTGCACCCCAGTGAGTGATGTTGTTCCCACTGAGACTCAAACCTCGTACGCATTACTTTAAGCCCCAAGGCATTATCTATTAGGTCACGGAGGTATTACTATTTATGGATATGCATGTAATTATCGGTTGTTTTACTGGATCGAAATGTTTGACCTCTAATGACATACGGGCTCCTATTTCTGGATACTGTCTTGGCGTTTGAAGCGATGAATATTAGGTTCGAGTCTCAATGGGAAAAACATCACTCACTGGGGTGCAGGAACATTCAGCCGACGAGTCTCGAACAGGATGAAAGCGCATCCTGGATGCCTTTGCCAGCCACATCTAAGTATATTACCATAATTAACGTTCAGTCAATATCAAAGTATGCATTTAGAAGCCCATATACCAATAGAAGTCAAACAATTCGATCCAGTAAAGTAACGGAGAACTACAAGCATATCTATAAACAGTAATATTCCATTCCATAACTGTGGCTCACAGCAAGAAGTAATCTTTTGTGACTAAACTCCCGAACAATTTCTTGATATATACTACCAGCAAGGCTTAAACCAACACAAAACTCGGTCCAATATTTCATGATCATTCTAGTGGTTTGTTGATAGCTGACTGATTTTAAGACAGTTAGTATCATGAAGTAAAGTGAGCTAGAAAACAGATGATACTGAAAGAACATTGACTGATCATTCATTATTGTAACTCATAAATCGTATGCATCACAACTGTATACGACTGATTGTACAACCTTCACAATCTTCAAATGAAATCGATTCGGTGCAAATAAACATGTTGAAAACAACTCAAGTTTCAAATTATTACCATTTTGCCTATGTTGCCACTTTTTCTAACAAATGACCAATAGAAATTCAGATTCTTTGATATGACAGAAAGTTTTAAGAAAAAGTCATCAACTTCTTGAAAAACAGTTTCAAAAACACTTCATACGAAGATTTTATTCACTTTTAATAAATAATATTATTCATGAATCTATGCAAATTAGACGTTTAGTTTCAATTTTTTACCAAATAAAATGATAATAAAACCATGTTTACATTCATTTTCCTTCTGTGCATCTACTTGTATCTTAATCAATATGTTTATCTTTTTTTCCCTGTATCTATACTTGGTCTTGGTTTTTCACTTGCTTACATAAGGTAGATCTCACAATCTTGAGGACTTTCCTTCTACTTGTTTACTGAATAGCCAAACATGTCATTTAGCAGAATAAATCAAAGAAGGCTATGCAAATAAATGACAGCAGTTATGGCTGATGTATCATATCTATTTCCTATTGAGTGCAAGCCAAAAAGCGTATAAAACAGGTAGGTAATATTTTAGAATGGAAGAATCGGAAACCAAAGAGATAACTTATTATACTGTGAACATTTCTGCTTCATTTCTAGGATTTCATGAAAAATATCCAGCTTTAACTACCTACCAGTTGACTTATTCTTGTAAAACTTGATAAATTCATTTATCGAAATCAACATTCAAGTGAATTAGGGCATGAGTGAAAGAAATATCAAGTTTGAATTTACTTTTCTTAGTATCCACTCGTTTGAAAACTATATTCAGTTTATCAAAATATTTCCAAGAGAGAAATGACCTTAACAAGAGTTTGAGGTATTATGAAAACCTCGGGAGGAAATGACTTCGCTAAGCTGATTCTACAGTCAATTCGGGTTACAAATTAGCATGTGTTTTAGGATGGAATACAACCACAGTTCATCTACTTCAATCTAAATAAGTAGTGTAACAGGCTTTAATATTTGAAACTTGGCTCATGACTCGACAAAAAGTAGATAAGTTACATTCTAACTGGCCTTTCCAACTGATAAACCTCGACTTAATGATGTTAAAAACTGAATGTTAACGCAAAAGAACATAAGGCTATTTCATATTACGATACATCGAATTCCCATGAATAACTCTCAAGATCTGAATAACCAATATGACCAGTTGGTGTTACATAGCCGGTCGTCTCTAACCAATTAATATCTGTCAATGTCCACCGCTATGGTGAGCCTTCTAACTAGGTGGCCACGTTGCAAAATGATTAATGCAGTTATTCTTCAGTGACCAATCACTGTATATGGCCCGGTCCTATAAGCAGTCACACGTAGACCAGATAGCTCAGTAGTTACATCTCTGATTGTCACACTAAGTGATGCGGGTTTGAATCTTGGGCGGGACTTCAGTTCCTTGGAGGTTTCAGATACGTATTGCCGACGAGTGCCAACAAGAAAAGAATATGGGTTCAGGGGATACTACCGATTGTCTCCAACCAACTAACATGTTGTTAAGTGAATCCTCCTGAAATGGTGGTTTAGAGGCCATGACCGACCCTATTGTACGTTTGCGAATGATTTTTTCTCATCGCAGAGACCTTAGTAAGTCAGGTATAGTACTGTGTTTGAAAGTCACGTTGCTGAATGATAGAAATCCACTGTTTGCATTATGTGACCACCACTTCAACTTTTCAAATGTGAAAATAACTTTTTAAAACCATACGTAGCATAGGTATTCCTGGAGTACACGAGATACCGGACATTAATGACATGCATGTTACCAAATAAGAAGTCGTTCAATGAATTGACCTTGTTAATCACACGTCGAACAATGTAAGGTATGACCCTATTTACGTCACAGGATTCCAGTTAATATATCAAAGCTGTCTACGTAACCATATATAAATTCGTTTAACTTTTGTTTCTTTACTATATTTGCCTGTCAGTGGTGGTCATTTTACTGACTGGACCAATTTATAGTCAGGAAGTTAGCCAGTAATCTTTAAGATCGCCGCTATAAGTACTCATAGTTTAACTTGGGTAGGTTCAGCTAGTTTTCCCTATTGTAATATGTTGTATTCTACATAAAACAGGCATTTCTGTTTGTTGTAAATTGTGTTTGCAGCGGAAAAGTAGCTGCTTGCTAAAAAAAATTTAGCAAAACCTGCATAATATCAAAAACTAAAACCAATCCCCACTACACTGAAACGATCAAAATACAATAGCTGCTATTTACAATCTAATACAAAGGTGTGTAGATACTAGATAATTTGACTTATCAAACAACAACCCTAACTATGTATCTTAAAGAAATGTAAATGCAGAGTCTGTTTGTAGTAGTTACATTGTGTTTGTTGATTGTACACTTTCAGGTTAACAAAATCCATCGATTTAAATCCAAGACTAATCTGATAACTAATTAACTATTTAAAATATCCCAATCAACAATTAGCTTTTTTCTTTCATGTTCATTTAGATACTAACTCTAACAAGAAGATTTAGCTAGTTAGCTAACCATCCACATTATTATTATTATTTGTCCCTTAGGTTCCTAGTAGAACATAAGGCTTCACTAGCACGTCTCCATCCCACTATCTTCTCTGCAATCTTTTCAACCTCGCTCCACGACTGCCCACAACCTCTCATTTCTTCCTCACACCATCTCCTCCATGTCACCCTCGCCTCGGACAACCAACTCGTCGTTTCGCATCTGGGTTCCACTAGAGTGCCTGACGTGCGATGTTCCCAACCGGCCTTCTCAGTGTATGTTCAATCCATCTCCACTTCCTTCCAGGACATATTTGTTGAGTGATAGGTTTTTGGTTGGTTCGTTGCCTGCCAGCCAGCCAGCCAGACAGAGTTCCTTGTTGATTATTCTTATTGTACTGGCCATCTGAGCTTCAGTAACGAGCGTAGGTTTAGGACCTGCTAGTAACTAGTGAACTAGTTAACCAGGTGAGGTTAGACCATCCACATGAGCTACAAATATTCTCCACTATTTAGCTAGTTAGCTAGTTCAATGATAAGGAAAAGACGGTTGTATACCAATCATTAATATGAAACTTGAATACAACTCTAAGTGAATGAAGTGAAATTGACACTTTGTTAGCAGTTACGTATATAAAACGAATTTCATTAAAACGGAAATTAAAAAGTTAGTTGTATTGCTTCAGTCATGTAAGTTACCCACGAAAACACTTGATACTAACTTAATAAAAGGTTTCTGGTATAACTCAATAATGATTTTCCAGTTTTTAAAGCAGGGATACGCTGGATCAGGAAAAAGATTCTAGAAGATTTGGATTTCGCCGATGACTTATGTGTAATGTCTTGTCGCACAAACTTGATGATCTGTTGGAGAAAACTAACGAGTTGACAGAAGAGGCAGGGCAGCAAAGACGGGACTTCAGGTGAATGTAGAGAAGACAGAGGTGATGAAGATACCTAACCAACAACAACAAGCTGCAATCACCATGAACGGGAGGAACTTGCGCGAAGTAGTCTCTTTTACCCACCCACCTAACTAGGCAACATCGTTTCAACTACAGGCGGTGGCGGCACAGCTGAGGACGTCAAAGCAAGTCAGGATCGGAAAGACAGCAAGACAGGCGTTCATTAACCTGAACCCAGTGTGGAGATCTTCTGTACTGCACTGCACTCAGCACAAAGCGTGAACAACATCGGGATTTTCAACACTACTAATGTCAAGTCAGTGCTTCTATGTGATGGTTGAGAGACATGGCGCATCACGAAAAGTATTTCCAATAAACTACAGATATTCATCAACAACTGCCTATGCTTGCTCGATACTGAAGATCAGATAAGCATAATAACAAGAATAAGCAACAAAGAACTCTGGCTGGCTGGCTGGTGACGAACCAACAAAACAAGAACCTATCACTCAGCAAATATGCGATCCTTTCACATACCACTCGAATGAGGGACTGATACCAGTTGGAAAAATCACAAAACTGAAAAAGCATCCGTTAAGCGTTTGCGCTTTTTTTTAAGCCTGTCAACATTTAACAGCTTTAACTTTGTACCACATTATATTTAGGACATATATCACTAACCAATAAACTACTTAGTTTTCACGAAATTGGTTGCTGAGCATTGAAGAGTTTTCAATCAATTAGCACTAAGATGTCCAATAAGTAACTCATCAAAATAAGACTAGTGAAAGGTAGCTGTTAAAATCATACTTTACTTGTAAGAATTTAAATAATTGATATCAGGAAAGCACAGATGTTTTGAATCCATTTCGTTAATTGCTCTGCTCTTGTTTTAGGAACAAAATAACTGCTTTTGAAGAAATTCAGCTAGAAACAAGACATTTTATTGGATAACATTTCAATCACTTTTTTAACTACATCAAGTTATGCGATATGATATTGAGTATGAGAATGAAATTGTGTTGGAAATGTCATTCAATAAACATTACTGTTTCACTGTGCGAAACATGTCGTACAAGAACCGTATTGGAAACATACTCCACCAAATTACCCGAATTGTAATGCTCCTAAAATTTTCAGTTCTCTGACAATCCTGGTCTGTGGCGTAATGAATACAGTCGGTAGATGCTGGTGACTCGATTTTAACTCAGATACTAATCACTAAACTGCTATGTGATGTGGCATGTATGCAAATATATTAAAGTACAAACCGTTCGATGATAGCAATCTAAAATAAAATGTCCTCTTTCCTCAGTGGTTTCCTAAATGATAACACGTCATGATTAAAGCTGTTTACTGATTACCAACAAACTTTCTGATTGAAAGCTAGATTGAACCATGATAAATCAATAAATTTGTGTCAACATTTGAAAAAAACTCTTATTCACACCTTTATAGGTGAATACTTAGAAGTGATCATGTGAATTAACGCTGGTTTATCTTGTGAGTCACTAACTTTTATGACTAGCACATGAAAAGTACACCTTTTGTTGCGTAACTGATGACATAACCTTGTGAAACAATGAAAACATATTTACAAAGCATTTACAATGTGATATTATCTGTTGTTAACACAATCTAATATAATCACAACCTTATGATTGATTATTTGAGTATTTCTCAATTGAGAAACTAAAGGTCAACAAGAGGATAGACTACATGTATTTCTATTCTCTCTTACAATAAAATTAACTGGAAAAGGATTAGATTCTTAAACAGTGAGACTTCTAAAAAATACCATACACTTTTATGCAGTGAACTATAAGTAACATATCCTGCCCGAGGGCTAATGATACTAGGATAGGCGTGAAACTTTCGGAATGTATTCAGGATTTTCAACCTCTGAAGTAATGAAGTTAAAGTCAATAATTTATATTAATGGCTTCAGTTTGGTATTTATTACGGACCGACATCAGTTGGAGAAACATTGAAAACCTGGCAGCTGTCTCGTCCCATTATGGGACTCCTCAATAGTGCAGATCCCTAACCTCTCCGGGGTTGAACTCAACATCTTAAGGTTCTGTAGCCAGCATGTCACCATTGATCCATATTTTCCCACTCCTATCAATTCGCGATACAACATGAACTTCACTCAATGTTATCACTAAGTATTTATCCTCTAGTTCTACTTGGTTTGCTCCACCGGTCACTACCTCTCATAAGAACTTTGCGAAGTTGTATCAAGAAGCATGTCACTAACGAGCACTGGTCAGTACTTCGTCTCGGACGTGAGGACAGGTACTCTCAACGTGCACTGGATGAAGGTTGCGACACATCACGAATTGGCAGAAGTAGAAAACCGTTGACCACTGAACTCCGACCCAGTGGCTCAACTATAACATGCCCGCTGCTTAACTTTAGAGTCCTGGATTTTATACCTGGAAGGACTACAGGTGCACGTTGTTGAGGGGCTGCATACTGAGACGAAACAGTTGTCCGGTGATGTCGGTTTTCAGTGGTTATCTAACTGATGTCAATCTGCGATGAATACCAACTTACATCAAATAAAATTCCCACAAAATTCGAAAATGAATTTATATTACTGAACCAAAGTTCCATAGACTTTAATATTCAGATAGATTCATTATGTATTTCGTCTCATTCTGCTGAGATACGCTCAAGTTAATCAGATTGTTGGATATAGTGAATGAAATTAGAGAAGACTAGAACCATGAAATGATTTGAGATGGAACCGTTCAGCATCGTACATAAACAGTTTTATTACTCCATTATGTCAGGTTTAATTTTTAACTAGTTACCTTTAGTAACGAATATGTACCTTTAGAAGATGCAAATAAACAATGAATTTTCATTTCACTATCTCAATAGCCGTGGTTTGCTAAACTAGTATTTATAATAGGTGTTTATTCAGGGTGAAATGAAAATTTGAATCGCGGCCGGATTCGAACCAGTGACCACCGGATTCCCAGCCCGATGCTCTACCAACCGAGCTACGACGTTCGACTGATGACCACATTTTTATTTTACTTCAGTCAGCAAGGATTCTACACGACTACTATGTGAATTCGTGATGCTTTACTACCACTTGATCGTATTCACACTGGCTGCCTAGTCATGAACTTCTCATCCCAATCGAAATGTAACTGAATTAGAGAAGGGAGCATCAAATTGATTATCATTTGACCATTTGAGATAGCCGTACTTTGGCAGACTATGAGTTTATCTTATTGTGTAGATCTTTCCATTCCTTTCACTCTGTAATTATGAGAGTTATTTGATTAAGTATGTGGACTATATCAATAAAATCTTGAATTCGTTTCATGCATTTGAAAGAGAAACCATATTCACTTACGTGCTATTTCCAATTTTACTGGTAATGACAAAGCCCTGCCAAATGAATTTACAGCAACACACTGGTATACTCCTGGCTTGGGATCACTTGAAAACTTTTGCATATCAAAATACCACAGACCTGATTCATCTGATAAGTATGGAATGTGTGAGTGATTGGAATGCAAGTCGAGTACTTTTGCTTCATCTGTAGGAGAAGTAATACGAATGGAATGCGGCAATACTGACTTGTATGGCTTAATCCAACTAACACGTTCCCCGTTCAGTGTCCAGTAATACCTACAAGCAAAAATAATATACAAAAATCCTAAATATACCACTAGGTGAAGTTTTAAAATTCGGTTCATCAAAACGGTTGCATTTGACTGGTTAGTTTTACAATGCCCACTTTCCCCATATGAAGTGGATCAGCGCATATGAGTATTTTAAACAGATAGACTTAGATTATGTATGATGCATGTTTCATCATTTTCGAGACAAGTCAGTTGTATCTGCATCTATGTAGGCTTTCCTACTGAGAACCGACCTGGGTTCATATCTCTGAAAATATCAGACCCTTTCCCCTTAGCATACTGAGTTGTGATAGCCACTTTCTGCTTAGCATATATCGACCATATTCTGAGTTTCTGACACTTTCCTACTGGCCTCTACTAAATATATAACAAAGATTATGTCACGACATCCATCACAATATCCAGGGTTATGTCTGACACTGAAGGAGAAAAACAAGTTTCAAACCTTCATCTTTTGAAAGTCTCAGTTAAATTCTTTCTAACAGATGACCTTATAATTTGTTCGAACTAAAGATGAAAGGGATTTTCAGACGTTTTAATAAGATTATCGAAACACAGAAAAAGTATTCAGAAAGAATAATTTCCTTCAGTCACCGAAACAGTAATAACTGATAAAAGTTAATAATTATCTTGATGATATTAAGAGAGTATAATTTTCGGACCATTTATTCAGTGCATCCTAGTAATGGTTAAGGCTAGGACATAAGTTGGATCAATGTATTGAGAAGTGCTTAAATCAACTGACATAATTTTGACAGTGTATAATTTACACCTTTTCTTGAAATGCTCGCATACACTAGTGCTTTCAAAGACTTTATGGCAGAAATTCTAACCATCATGTTGAGGAGTGAGAGTAAAAGTTGGTATGCATAGGTTGAAATTAATAAATGACACATTAATTAAGTGAAGCTAAGAGTAGCTGGTACCTGACTAGTCGACCATGTGTGTCTCAGGATTACAAGTAAAAAAAGAGTGCAGAAGAGCTGTTTACCTGTTCTAACATGAGAAGTAACTCTCAATTTGCTTCCGTAGCCTTACGATTGGTATGTTAGATTCAAAATCTCAGCGTAAAACCACTAAAAATAATTTTCTGTTCCAATTTGAGCACTGTATTAGTGTTACGACCTTCACACAATTCGTCTAAGCAGTTGAGATAATTGCGTCAATCGTTGGTTTGATTAGCAGTATTGTCATTAGAATTTTTATAGATGTGATCGCAAACCAACAATTAACTGGGATTTGTCTCAGTGTAAATCAACATCCATAAATATTCACACTATTATTCCGTTTTACTGATAATTTATTGAAAACATTTGTTTCCCGATACAAATTTAAAACAAGCGACAAGTGGTGAAAAAAGCAGGATTTAATGAATTCATAAATTTCAGTAGTACTCGTCAGCTGGATACTCTACATACTTGATTATATATACCGTTAAGCAATGGAAAAGAGCATACATACATATTGTCCCGACTTGGCAATCTTTAACATTGTAAATTTTTACTATTTTAAAGTAGAAAATGATATACATAGTCTACGGACTGGAACTGCGATAAAATGTACAGTTTATGACAGCTGAAAAGTCTTATAAAAGAAGGAAACGTCCATTTACTCATATATGGTTATTTCAATGGTTATTATCTATCATAAGTTCATTTTCGATCAGATTACAAAATCTCTAATAGACAACGGTGTTATTACTATTATTGCTGTCTTAAGTTATTTAGTTTATCTGTTGAAGAGTCAAATTGATATTGAAAAACGGTACTTCATTACCATCTTCAGACCTGTGCACTAGGTGATGAGGCAAACTCAGATCTTTGAGCTCATTGGTTAAGAATAGACAACCCATTCCAATGACTGGCAGCTATTCTGGTTGTTCATGCTATCCAGTGTTTTTTATTGTCAAACAGTACCGATGACTGCCATGTGAAAGAAATTTTTCCCATCCATCCGTGAACATCCAAATTCTTAACATGTCTACAAACAGCTATTAGTTAGATTACGTAAAAACTTGCACACCTTTGCTCTTTGTCATGGCCATCTTTAACATTATCCTTCAACCTTATCAATCACATCGATATCAAAGGCTCTTGTTGTATAATTTCCTAATGAGAGATAAATCAAAAAGGGAATTTATTATTAAAAGTATTCCCAATTATATTGATTACCTGGAGGAACCGAATACCCCATTGATGAGAAAGTGTATATTGTAAACAAAATGAAGTTTGACTCACTGCAGTGCTGCAGCCAATGTATGTTACAGTACAGTCTTTCATGAAATATTCACGTATGATTATAAGCCGCAAGTACCGCATCCTTCTAAAGCAGTAGCTTCTTGCATTTCCGTGTTATAGACTGTGAGTATCACCTATTATGGAAGGTCTGGATCCCTGAAACTTGGTAGGTGGAAGAGAGTTGTAACTTATAATTCACTGGCTGAAAATAGAGCCTCAATCAATTACCTTTGCACATGATTGTTACTTCTCAAATAGGGAAATATATATATATATATTTGTAGTGGTAATGTTTGAATATGCAAACTGCAAGCACGTTATCTATTAGTTTCAAAGTTACCTCAAAGGTGGAAGACAAAATTAGTTGTTTAGTTAACAAGTAGAGTACTCTAGTAAAACATACGTGATATTTATTCATTCATTCATTTATTCATTTATTTACTTATTTATTCATTTATTTATTTACTCATTTATTTATTAATCCATTTATCTGTTTATTTATTTATTTATTTCAACCATCTGGTAGACAAATGATAACCGTGAGTACGTGAAACCTATCCAAAACAATTAATGGTATTTACCAGAGAGATCTTGCTCAAAAAAGCGTCCGGTAGTTATTCTCTTTATCCAGGGAATAAGATCCACAATGGAATATCTGGATATGTTTATTCGAACCGCTATGATTACGAGGTAAAATCGAAGGTTGTTTACAGTATTCGCGGTTCGTCGACTTCAGTCGATACACATAGATCTTATGAACCTCGTAATCCACTCAAACGTCTTGTCAATAACATTGTCCAATTTGCAACAGTTGAGTAATTCTTTAGACGTTGGACTGTGAAGTCAACACTAATTCTGATCCCCGCAACCGATAACTAATGAGGTCCATTGATGGCTAACATGAGTGATTAGACGGCAACTAAGCTGACTGATTAAGTTTATCTGCTTCAATAAAATAAGCTGAACGTTAAACATTTTCAATACAGTTCCTTCACTGACCTAACCGACTGCTTAATCACATGCTTTACTTATATAAATTCATATTGTCTAGATTACTACTACAATGCAGTAGTAACAGCACGAATCTATTGAATAATCTGATGGTGATACCAGAGCATTGGATTTGATCATTTCCTGAAGATATACATGAGTGCTCTTCAACTACTTACGTGAGCATATAATTAACAAGTTTCAACTAGCTGACTCTAAACATCAACAAGGCAACCAGTAAGCCAACCAATCACCTTTCTATATTTTGGTTAAAAAAGGAGTATTTTCGTAGAATAGGGAAAGCTAATTGGATATTTCACTGGTTATCAGGGTGGCCGTAACCAACAGAGAAAATCTTCGACCTCATATACAATGGAAACCAAGGCGTTCACATCTCGCAGTAAGTAAATAACGTTTTCTGTGCCAGTGAAGAATATTTGTTGTGATGTATTTTCTCAGCTGGCTTGTTTCATCGTTAAGCTTTCATCGTCTTCCTTGACAACATAATCAGCACTAACTTCAATCTAAAGTGAGCTGTCCATATCTCTCCACAAGTGATTTAGTAGCTTGCCCTGACCGACTGTTTTGTGATTGATTGCTTGCTTTGATTGTTGGGTCAATGGCTGTATAGATTACCCTGTTGGCTGTTCCTCCGATTCACCTCTCACCTTGCTGTCGTCTATCACTTTTCTCATTGGGTGATAGATTGGGTCTATGTCTATGCATTTGTTGATTGTTGACTGACTGACCTGAATGCCAAGCTTCTAGGAATTCTCTGATATTCTTTGTGTTTCCTCTCTCCGTGGAAGATTTCTACATTGTCGAAATTGAATTCATGTCCTGATAATGTTGTCTAGACAGACGATAAAAGCTTCACTATTAAACAACCCAGCTCAAAGAACACAATACAACCAAGGCTTTCTGTGCTAAGTAAGTATTTACTTCTCACGTCTGTCAATCTGAAATATAGTGGGATCATTAGCTAATATCGACATCAGTAATGCTGAAATGATGAATCACTTAGTTCAAGGCTTACCACTAAGACATCTGGAAATCTGTGTCAAGCCCAACATTCGAATAATTCCATCTCAAGTTTATTCGAAATTTACTGACTTCCTACTGGCATTCAATTTCAATAAAAATGTCATTGATATAATCATGGCCAACATAACAACTTTGTCCGACATATTAGACCAGCACAAACAATGAGAAAAATGTTTTTCCTATGAAAAATAATACAACCTAGAACTTAATAAAATAATTATGCATGACTAATAACGCTTACTCAAGCCGTTAAATAAACAAAAGCCTGTTCATGTATCAAATAAAAGTGAACATAACCTGGCGGAGATTATTATATACACACAAACAAATGTACAAATACACATAATAGACCCTAATTAAAGACAAAACTCATTGTTCTTTGTACAATGTACATTTTCGATATTAAGGTTTAAACAGTCCTTCATTTATTGTGACTTTTTTAAAATCAAGGCTTACATGCTTTACAAACAGAGGAGAATGGAGATGAAATTTACAGTTATGAGGTCATAATGGTTAACTCTAAGCCATCCAACTACACGATCATATTTATATAATAAAAACTGAAATCCCCATGAACCTCAAAACATATTACTACATTAGTGATATGCTTCCAAATGGATATCCCAAAGTTATAATGAGAAGCCGTGAAGTGGGGTGGGGTCAACTAATCGGAAAGGAAGCTGATGCAAACTGAAGACCTTGGGTGATAGTCGCG